CCCCAAAACCCCAAAACCCCAAAACCCCATGAATCAGTATCGATTAAATAACAGAATTGAGAATTTAAAGCATTTTGAAATGTGAAATTCCCTAGAATTTATATAAGGAGAATATCTCATTGCTGTACTATTGCTTCATGCTCTGATCATTAAATTTCTGATCATCTTTTAACTTTTCGCATATTCCTGCTCATTTTTAACTTGGCTTCCATACCCCACTATTCTGTGCCAAACAGTGAAAGATGCTACAAAGATGCCTAACCCAAGTCCTACCTTTTAGTACCTTGGCACAAATCTACCGGATTTTTAAAAAGCTACTATGATTGCTGGTGCTACTACTAATGTGGTTAAAAATGCTCTAGCTCTTGCTGATGCCTGCATTAATCTGAACTTTTCATGATTATAGAACAAATCTGGACTTGCTGCGATCTAAGCTGCTCTCTCCTCGCCTAGAGATTATCTCAATTTCTCATGGTGATATAAAAGCTCATCAATCTAATTAAGAGATCTGTTGTTTTGCTTTCTGAAAAGATGAGAATAATCATCAGCAGAAAATTGATTAAAGGTGACTCCTCTGAGAATGGGGGATTCCTCTGGCATATTTATTTTTATTTAATTATAAAAACAAACTAACAAAGTTTATCAAGCATTACAATTTAATTATTATCATTATCTTTCGTCATATCAAATATTCTGCTTATACATATAGGTTTTGATGCCTGTGTCCTGAAATGGATTCTTATCTCTGTATGTTTCTGAAAGTAGCATCTGCTATTGCTGCTTCTTTAGTTCAAACAGCCTTTCACTTTTCTCCTCCAGCATTTGAGCTATCTGTCTTAGCTATATGTTGAGATTCTAACTGCTTTCTGGCTATAGATTTGCACTGAAGCTAATACTTGACTGACTCTATTGGCTTAGCAAGGTCTTATATTGCTGGTTAAAGTCAAATATCTCTCTTTCAAGATAGAAGATCTCATTGTCGACACTGAATCTATCTCCATTCTTGCTCTCCTTGCTCTTATATGTATTCATACTGCTGCTGTTGAACTCATTGATATTCAGAGGATTACTATTTCTTTAATTGACCTACTAAATGTTGTTGCCAATAGAATTTGTTAAGTCCTGACACTTCAGCGATTAATGATCAACGCTAGACTAATGTGAATAGATCATGGCTCCGTATTCAGAATTAACTGAGCTCAGGCCATACTAAGGTAGAGAGGCATTACTTTCTATACTTGATCTTTTAAACAAGTTTGCATTCCTTGCCAAATTATTCTCGAAATACGGCTATCTTTAATTGGAATTAGATCTTTGAGTATGATTATCAACGAATATGTACTCTTGGCTATTGTGTTGTTATTTGATGTCAACTGAGAGGTTAATGTTATCCTCTAGCACATTCTCGGCTCTACCTTTCTTGGTATTTATAGAAATAAGGTTTGAGTGTGACTGTGCTCCATTTAGTGTTCTCTCTTTATTGGACTTGATTGAGGGTGATCTACCTGGATTTCTTTCCTTAGTAGACACAAGTCTTGATTTTTTCAGCTTAGACCCTGAAAGCTATCTTGAAGCACTCGAGCTCTTTCTATCTTATGAACTTGGTCTTTACTTTAGAGCTGATCCTTAATTCCTTTATACTGAGGAGCCGCCGTGATGAGAGGATTTATTAGGGTTTTCTTGCTGATTGTTATTATTTATTATTGATGGAGCATTTGATCCATTCCTAGCCTTGTTTTACTTAGATAACTTACTCTAAGACTTCTTGGTTTTCTTTGTGGTTTATGGCTAGCTAGCTGCAGCTTAATTATCTACTGTTTGGAAATTCTGATTTTCCATGGTTTGATTTATATTAAGAGTCTATGTTAATGCTTTTTCATCAAGCGAGTTTTTAAATGGGGATTTCCTATGATTAGACTTTAGGACTTGATTACTCTTTGGAGTGATTCCATTTTAATGAATAGAACTAACAGTGTTAATTGCTTCTGATCCAGTTTTACTAACACTCTGCTTCTTCTTAGTGGTTTTAGGTTACTAGTCTCTAGCGCTGCTCCTTCTATCACCTAAAATACTCATTTCCTCCTTAAGCATTAGGCATTCTCTTTTCCATTTCTCAGCTTCTCTTTAAAGCAATTAAATCTACCTATCTTTATCACTAATCACTTGATCTATTTCTTCTCTGAGTTAGTTATTTTCCTGCTCCAACTGTTTATTCTTTTCTCTCAGCTTTCCTTTCAACTATTCATACCTTGCTTTGGCCTCCTCAACATCTTACTATATTTAAGCTCCTCTTTCTTTTTCTGAATCAACTTCTCTTTCATACCTATCTCTAATTTATTGCTCTCTTCTTTTAATATCTTTTATAGTCTCCTCAATACCAGAGTATTTATCTATATGTTCTTGTAATTGCTTCTTGAGATTGATATTTTCTTCTTCTGTCCTCTTGTATTGCTACCTCCATTGTTCTCTTTCAGCAGAGTTTTCCTCTAAATGCCTCTGCTTTTCTTATTCAGTTGATTCCAATTGGCGTTTCATAATCTGTACCTCCTCTCTTAACTGGCTTTCTCTATTCTGTGATTTATCACATTCTTCTTTCAGTTTTTACTAAAGTCTAAAGTTTGACTCTTTGGATTGATTTTCAACTATTTAGAGCTAATCTTAGAGCAGTTGATTCTAATTCTCAAGACTTTTAACCTTATCAGATAAGGCCTTCATTGCTTAAGTAGCTGCATTGCTTGTTGATTGATTCAGGGCATTATTTACTGGAGTTGATTAGGTTTAAGGAGGCAGCGTAAACTATTAAGAAAGTTCTAAGGTTTTACTATAAGTAGAGTTATCTAAGTTAATGAATGAATTCTAGTTTTATTAAAGTGCTATTGGTTAAACTTATGCTGTTAATAGGTTTTATTATTTAGCCTAATGGTAACTAGAACTCTAAGTGAATGGATTAATTTCATTAATAATTCTAGGTGAATTGTAGTTTTTCAAATGAGATACGTTATCATCATAGCTACTTCCCTGTTTTTACTAAAATGAATTTCTATCTGTTATCACTAAGTTTTCCTTATCATAATTGACAGTAGAATTCCCAACCAGATAGTTATTCAGCTAATTTAATTGATTTTAAGTTTTCAGCATATCTGAAGATGCCAAATTTATAGACTTACTACTGCTGTTCTGATTGAAACCCATTTGATTTTGCATGTTTTGTTGGTTTTACTAATGCTGATAATTTACTGAGGATTGAAGAGGCTGAATTATTGAGTTTTAAAGATTTTGCAATTAAGCATATTAATTTTATTGCTGCTATTGTTATGTAACCATAGATTGGTTAGCATCATTCCCCATAATTCTAGGAGGTAACTTGCCTGTTCTGATGATATATTCAAGTTCTTCGTTGCTTAAATCTTTAGGGTTGATTTTAGGGAGCAGTTTTGAGTCTTTAGACTGAGGGATCTAGCCTTATTTATTAAGAGTCAGGTCTTGAAGTGGGTTTATCAGCTCAGGAATATAGCTACTTTACCTTGATGTTGATTGATTTGTATTATTTACAGTGCTATTATTGTTAAGAGTTCCGCCAAAAGTTAAAACTGATGGGGATTTTATTGCTTAGCCTAGTACACTAGCTATTGAATCGTTCGGATTACTGTTATTTTGCATCATCATCATGTCATTTACTTTGATTTAAATGTTTTATAGGTTTGGCGTTGAATTATTATTGTACTAGGAATGCTATTACAGCTGCTGAGCTTGAGGCTAGACACTCACACTCATATTATGCCTATGAGTGTTCTACTATGAATTAGGATTGAATTGAGAATTTGGAGTTTGCTAGGAAGACTAGAGCTGCTACTGATGCTATAACTAGTACTTGCTAGATATCTTCTCTATTTCATTTTCGATTAAAGAGAGCTCTAAGTTGTTAGAATTCATATTTAAAAAATCAAATTAATTTAAATTATTGATTGCTTACCCAAATTAATTAAAGTGCTATTGAATTTATAGTAATATAATCTTAAAATTACATCAATGGACTCATAAAATCAAAGTAATATTTAGGCATCCCCAGATGAACTCAATAGATTTAGAGGTACACTCAAATTTATTTCCCATTTAACATTAATATCTATAGTTGTCTTAAGAGTGAGACCATTCTTAGATGAAGAATTAACTGGAGGGAAAAAAGGCAAGCAGTAGTGCATACAATTTTACAATGTAAGAAATAAACCTGTTTGATTCATAAGACAATAATAAAATTCACTTATATTGCTTTTCATTTCTTATTGATGTTTGTTAGGATAACTAATCATTATCAATGATAAGACCAAATCAAGATGTTAGGAACTTTAAATTCGACTGTGTGCTTGACTAAGAATCAGACTAGATTCTGGCTTATGATCAAATAGCTTATCCTGTAGTCCAAGATGTTTTAAATGGTTTCAATGGAGTTGTAATGGCCTATGGTCAAACTGGCTCCGGGAAAACTCATACTATCTTTGGAAGTCGAGCCTCTTTAGATCACTTGTATACAATGAAGGGTCAGGGAGATCTACATGAAGAGAGTGGTATTGTTCCTAGATGTGTGACACATCTCTTCGACTACATCAAGATAAATCCTAATAAAGCACAGTTCAGAGTGACGATGTCCTTCCTGGAAATTTATAATGAATAAATTACTGATCTGCTCCTGCAAACTAACAATGGATCAACTAGTCCTGGAGGAAATAATCAGGGATCAAACAGTCACACCAGAAATTCTTCAACTAGCCCTATTAGAGGAGGTGGATCATCGACATCTATTGGAAATTCAGCAAGCTAAGGTCAAAACTTAAAGATCAGAGAAGATCAAAACACAGGTATCTATGTGGATGGATTGACCTAAGTTAATGTTAAATCTAAGGATCAACTTTATTAACTCATAAAAATTGGCGCAAAACGTTGATCTGTTAACTAAACAGCTATGAACAAGAACTCTAGTAGGTCACATGCAGTGCTGCAAATTTTCGTGGAGTAGAGATGGATTGAGACTGGCTAAGAAAGCGGGTTGCTGAAAGATGATAGGAATGCTTCACCATAAAAGACATCAAGATAACAATTTAAAAAAAGGCATCATAAAAAAGCCCTTTTGACTATAGTTGATTTAGCTGGTTCTGAAAGGTTATCGAAAACAGGGTCAGAAGGCTTGAGACTTCAAGAAGCTAAAAACATCAATAAATCTATAGCAGCACTGAGTAACTGCATTTCTGCACTTGCCTCTGAGACAAAAAACACTTTTGTGCCATTTAGGGACAGTAAGTTAACCCGTTTACTCACTCATAGTCTTGGAGGAAACTGCAAAACTACTATTTGTGCCTGCATTAGTCCCTCACTCATTCATTATGATGAGTCTTTTTCTACTCTGTTATTTGCAGCTAGAGCAATGAGTGTGCGAACTTATGTTACAATGAATGAAAAGATTGAATACAAACCTATTGATGAATATGGAAGATCTCTCACGCCTGGCTCCTCAGCGAAATTCCAATAGACTCCTAATGAAAAAGTTTTGATGAAGTAGAATTCTAAACTTCAAGAAGAGACTGAAGAGTTGAGGCAAGAAATATAAACACTGCGAGAGTAGATAAAGAAGCAGCAGTCTATGGTGTCCTCGTTCACAACGATGCCTAATAACGGTACTCCTGGTCCTTATGCAAATTAGTTCAATAATGGATACACAAACAGCAACCAAAATAATAATTACAATTCAAATAACACTCATAATACGAGTGTTGATGGAAACTAAAACACTGCTGCTACCAATTGGGGATTCAAACCAAATAATCAGCAAAGCAGAAATTCAGCAATATCTAATTAAGCCTAACAACAGATAGCTCGATCTCAAAGTCCAAATCCAAGTCACCAATACAATCCAATTATATTGCACTAAATGTCAGGTAAAAATCAACAAATTTTTGGCACAGTCTACATGAATGGTAGTCCTTAGAAAACAGTTCTCATGTAATAGCCGCTTATTAACTAGAACGGCTTTATGCTTAATTAAATTACTCCTTAAGATAGTGAACACTTTACTCCAATGGATGGCACTGGAAATGTTCCAGGCATTGCTCCCTAAACCTAGTAAAATGCGAGTGTGAACAACAGCTATTCTCACATGAACAACCTTAAGCAATCGCATTAAGTCTACTAATAGTAGCAAAAGGATGCCTAATTGACTTAGAAGCTTGTATGTATCATCGACACACTGCAGGATGAGTTGACCTTTAAGACTCTACAAGTAAACTAACTAATGGAAGAGAATCTAAAGCTAAAGTAGATGCAAGGGCTAGGAATATCCAATGACGGGAATATCCAAGGAAGCATAGATAACCTTCTTTCGAATCCTAGTTTCAGAGCTGCTCTGTTTGAAAGACTTTCCAAGTAAAATTTCTGACTACCAGTGCCAATGAATATAGCATGAAATATAAAAGTAAACTACATTATAGGAGGCTTTGTAATTAAATAGTATGGTTTTTTAGATAGGGAAGTTTTAATTTTTCATATATAGGTCTAATCTTAATTAAATATAACAAGTTATTAAATTAAGTTTTGTCTTAATCACACTAATTCTCAATAACTTATATTTAGGGTGCTTACTCATATACATTGCTCTCAGAATTAATTGTCTAGATAACCGTACTAGAGTTTAGCTACCTCATAGATAACTCCCATTTGGAAAAGCTCGTCAATAACTTTGAATACAAACTCCTTCGTGTAAAAGTTATCATATTGCTTGCAAACATCCTTGTAGATAGTTTCAAAGTGGACTCCTCTTCTCTGATTCTTCATTTCATTCTAAATGAAATACTTTAGCTTCTTCCTTTGATCTCTAATCTATATCATGTAGTATTTTGCAGTCTCTCCCACTAGGTTCACGAAACCCTTTTCCTCTAGTTCAGCCAAACATTCTCTCAGTAGCTCAGTAGGTTTCTTATTTGGATCATCACTAAAAGCCAGTTCCTAGCCAATCTTTTACAATAACTTTGGGTTTTCAAGGAAGTCTAGTTCAGTCACTGAAAGATTTTAGTTATCAATAGGAAGTTGATAGGCCTTTGTGTTTGTATTTGGCTTTGAAGGTGAGTCCATCTCTGAATCTTCAAGACTGTCCTTTTTAATCTATTAATCATTATTGGACTGATTTTTCACATTCTAAAATAGTTCATTGTAGTTGTTTAGAATGTAGTCATTAATCTTCTTTTTTATTCTATTAATAGAGAATTTGTAAACTTCATTGCCTGCAGCCATTTCTTGATCGGCAGCTGGGTCGTTTTACTAATTCTTCTTATTCTCTTATTGTTAAAGTAAAAACTGCTGCTGCTGTTCCTACTGCCAATTAGCATTAAACAGCCTTCTCTGGAAAGGTTTAAAAGGGTCGAAGTAACACTTTTGAGCATTTATGGTTTATTAATACTAAAGCATTTCCTCGCTAATGTCAGTGATATTCCTAAGCTTATGGACATTGACCTAGATCTTATCTTTGTAGTGCTCCATCGAACCTAGAACAGCTAGGACTGATCCCAGCTAGATATTCTTTTCCGAGAACCATGTTCTAAAATCTGAGTTTCTTTTTCCTGCATTTCCTCCTTGGTTATTGAAGTCATTTAACCACAATACACAAACCATAACTCCAGTTGAATCATCAACTACATAAAATGATTGTAAACAACAAAAATAAGCCTACTTCCAAATATGTACTTCTCTTCTTTCTTAATTATGAATACAAGTGTGCCAGTTATCTGAATCTTAGTTAGTAGGAACTGATCTCTTAATATAAAGAAAATCTTGTTGTTAGTCTCATAAAACTGTCTTTGATATTCATTCAAGAGTGCATAGTCATCGTCCTCAGCTATCTCCTCATAACCCTGTGCTTATAGATGACTCTAGTTGTCTCTGCAAATAAACTTGAGATTGAAAATTAATATATACCTTTATATAGAGTCAGATTAGCCTTGATAATTCTACCTCAGAGATCTGTTTCTGAGTGGAAAGATGTCAAATCTCATCTGAAGTACAAAAAGCGGGAAATATATATCAGTCAACTCAAAGTTTATGTTTTTTAGTTGAGGTTAGTAGTTAGAGACTTCTCCAGTGTTATTGCTGTAGTTATTGCTGTAATTGTTCTAGTATCCTTGGTTTTTATTATAATTCGAGTTATTATTGTTGTAGTTATTGTTGTACTGCTTTTTGTTATCATAATTTCTGAAGTTTCCCCCACCTTGTCTGTTATTATCCATTCCAAAAATCAAATTAATTTACTAAATTATTGATCTCTAAGTAATTGAGTTTTAAGGGGTTTTGGGGTTTTGGGGTTTTGGGG